CTGTATTAATTCTTATTTTGGCTTTATTAATAATAGACAAATCAATTTAAAAACCCTAAAATTGTCCACCGATTCACGAAGGACCGTTAGGCACATCCCACAAAAGGTTATCGAATTCGCCTCGTTGGCACTTGCCGGAAGGTACCCTTAGTTAGAGATCTAAAGTACTCTGGACAGCCTAAAAAGTGTTTTCAATGCATTTAGCGGGAAATCGTTGTTGGTTGCCCCTGAGTTTTGAAAATAATAATAATAAAAAACGATATCACGCACACATATGTTACTTAACCATATCTTCAGCTGTATCTTCTATTCAGCTGCATAGCCGAGGCCAGATTTTTCCTTTTTCCCGGGCGGATATTCCTTGTCCTCCCTCACCAGTTTGGACAGTGTGGAGTAAGACGTAGTTCTGGAAAGAACTGTTTATTTAATTAATCCAAGCAAATAGGTCCAGTAGAGTCAAGAATAACCTGAGATCAGGCGTTATTATTATTATTATCATTACTATTTTGAGTCTTTGCTTCTTTGGCGACGGCATGATCTCAGGCTAAGTCAAGAACGTATGCAAGCTGCTGGACAGACAATGTGACAGCGAACGTTAGAAGAATTCGAATGAAAACCAGGGCCGCCCTGTTGAAAACTTACAGACGGTCGCACGATCGCCTTTTGTTTTCTGGTCAAAACTAACGCAGCGGACCTTCGCTCAGTGTTGATTGACCTAGAAGCAATAGTAGCATCCCTCCCATGGCAAGTGTCGCATTGTTGCGCGGACGTGGTCGCTAAGCTCGAATATTCACGTCGCGTATTAAACCTGGTAGTTTGCGGTCATATCGAAGCTTAAAGGTAACAGTGTTTGTTGATGAGCGAGCGATTATTGTGCAGTTGCGATGGGTTTTGTGAAGCCAGCGAGCAATAAGTAGGAGCAAACGTTACCTGCAGATTAGCCGATGGCAATTTGGAGCGGATTCGTCGATTATTCTCGAATTTATAGCGCTTCGCGTGAAGGCGCGTGGAGATGGTCCGTTTGTTTTGTCGCTAGCCTTTAATTGTTCTTTAGTGGATAGTACCTACGATTGCAAAACTCAACAAAATGCCACTTTAACCGGCCAGGAAGAAGAAGGAGACGTTCAGTTAAAGGTATCTTAGCTTTGTTTTGTGATATTTTGACTTTTGGACTATTTTAGTTCATGGGAGTTTCGACAACTCATCCTATTTTGTCCATGTGAATATTAATATATTCATTTGACACATACAACGTCTGGGCGGCCTGTACATAAACAAGCGAGGACGAATCCTTTTTCTCTCTCTAAACTTGAGTGCGGTCCTCAAGAAATCAGTTCCAGAGAAATTCGCCTACAATTGCCATTTTCAGCAAATTGGAATAAACTCAACAAAGATTGAAACAACGGGAGTTCATTTTAAATCTGACGTTTTGGCTGCTGTTGCCATCGTCGATGCTAAAGCTCTCTGACAAACGACCGGTTTCAATAGACCTGCGAAATTTCTCATTTTATTAAAGCACTGAGGTTACGACAACTTCGAGTTGAACTGATTTCACGGGTTGTCAAAGAGTCCAGCGACTCCCTTTTCCCAAGTGAGCGCCGACTCGTTTCGCTTCAAGAGCCAGAGTGAGCCAACCCAACATCTTGAGGATATACCTTAGCACAGTCCGGCCAGTTTTAGAGTATGCTGTACCGGTCTGGCAGAACATCCCTGCTTATCTGTCCGAAGCTATAGAGCGAGTGCAAAAAAGGGCGCTTAACATAATCTACCCCGAGGCAGAGTCATATGCTCATGTCTTACAGTTAGGTAAACTAGATAGGTTAGATGATAGAAGAGTACCCTTGTGCGAAAATGAAGTTCCCCAGCCACCCTCTGCACCACCTAATTCCCAGCCCACTTCTGGACGCGCCTAACTACTTGTAACTTAAGGCAGAAAACACAAAAGTATTATCTTTTCCGGAACATGCAGGTCTGTAGGACAAAGAGAGTGGAGGACTTCTTTACTTTTAAGTTTTTTAAGTGATTCAATTGTTATTTTCATTGTTATAACTGTAATTACTATACTCTAGATAATAGTTACCTTATGATTGTAAAATGTACTCGATAATTCAGTTCTTTTTACCTCAAGAGAGTTTTAATAAACTATTCTACAACAATATTCAGGAATGCTCTCGATCTCTCTACGCTTTCATTGCCTTTCGCCCGACATGTTTTGCACGGCGTTTAGTCCGAGGTAACTTTATCCCGATTCTAAAAACAACTCGAGACGAATTACCTATGGAATAGGGTGTGTATGGGGGATGCCCTCTCTGTCCCCTTTATCCTCTCTTGAAATAAGGAGAAGACGAAGCCACGTAAATATCTTAGTGTCGTCAGCATACATGTGAATTTCGCCATCACAATCCTCAATTATATCAAGCAGATCGTTGCAAACTGAAACAACAAAAACAGGGTCGACGAAGAGACAGCAAAATACCTTTCAAAAAAACTCTCCCAAGCCAGGACGTTTTTACACTATCCCAAAAATACACAAACCTGGTAACCCCGGCCGTCCAGTAGTAGGGACCTTAAGCAAAGACGTTTTTGAGCCACGCACGTCAACCGGAAGTGAGGCCTTCTCCCTTTTTATATGCCTTGACACTAACAAACTTGTATTGCTGAGTTTCTTTTCTCTTTTAAAGACGATTTACCCGAGAGTTTCAACCAAATCATTCCCCAGTGATGCAAAAAGTCCACTTCCGGTTGACGTCCGTCGCTCAAAAACGCTGTTGCTTAAGCTCCCTAGTATCTAAAATCAGTCACCCAACAGAATGAATCTCACTGTTCATCGACTTCCATCTCAACCGCTAGTTACCAAACTCCCCTCCTACACTACCAACAAAAAACTCAATAATATCGGCTAATCACCAGACGGTGTTCTACTGATTACCCTTGATGTATCTTCACTTTATACCAACATACCTCACAAGGACGGAATCCAAGCCTGCAGCGAATTTCTCGACAGTCGTATAAATCCCTCTATTCAGACAACCAGACTCTTTGATACCATCTGTATGATCCTCACACATAACACTTTCATTTTCAACGGACAACACTACCGACAGGTTAATGGAACTGCGATGGGCCTCAAAATGGCTCCCTCTTACGCCTATTTCTTCATGGGGAAGTTTGAAGAACTAGCTCTACCCGGTGCAACCCAGTCCCCCCTTATCTGGTGGCGTTATCAGTATTGACGACATCTTCCTTCTACTAGTGGTCACATGGCGAGGATAAATTACATGAATTCATCACGTACCTAAACAACTTACATCCCACAATCAAATTCACTAGTTCGTTTTCTCAATCTAAAATCCCTTTCCTTGATGCCAACGTTCTACTAATCAACGACAAACTACAAACCGACCTTTATGTCAACCGACCTTTATGTCAAGCCTACAGACAAGCACCAATACCTCCTCAATCCATCCCATCCATCCCACACTAAAAAATCGATCCCTTTCAGCATTACATTGCGACTAAGAAGAATTTGCTCGAAAGATGATTTCTTTAACAAACGTCTCAACGCACTCACCACACATCTCATTAACTGAGGATATAAACACTGTCTCAGCCAGCAAGAAATAAACAAAGTACGCTTTATTCCAATCAAGCAGCCAAGCCCTCAAAACATCCACAAGACAGGAATATGACAGAGTACCATTTGTAGTAACATTCAATCCAGCTCTTCCCAACATAAACCATAATATTTCTGGCAATCTTAACATCCTTCATTCTTCACAACGATGCAAAGAAGCACTTCCTTCTCCTCCTCTTATACCCAACCGCCGTTGCAATAATCTACTTGACATCCTAGTCAGAGCCAAAACCGCAGACCACCCCCCCAAAACACCTGGAGCTTTTGCTGTAACAGAAGTAGGTGGAAGACGTGTCCTTTTTACAGAAGGAACCACGTCTTAAACCTTCTCCTTTACCTGGACGAACAACGACACATCCGACACCATATCTCCTGTTCATCTTCCAATCTCATTTACATGATCCAGTACAACGAATGTAACATGCAATACCTGGGCGAAACTAAACGCCAGCTCAGTGACAGTTTTGGAGAGCACCGACTCGGCTCCATAGAAAAAGCCAGAAATCCACATAACTTTTATCATCCTACCACCGTTTCAGACCACTTCTCCCCTCCAGATGATTTCATCAAGGACATAGAACTTTTTCCATTAGAACTAATTAATTAAGATAGGGACAGTATCCGTAAGGCCCGCGAAGGATTTTTAATATCTAAACTCAAATTACTTGAACCCCATAAGATGAACAGACGAGATGAAATTTAATCTATTGACATATACAGGATATATATATTTTTTTATGTAACCGTCTTTATACAAGTTTTTGTCTATTGTATTCCCTCACCAGTCAAATTTTATTTTTTATTTTTTTATTATTTTATATAATCAAATGTAATCGTCTCACTTAGATTTTCTAGACCCTGATGAAGACTAGTTTTGTCTAGTCCAAATATTGGGCAAATAAATTTGTAAACCTTTATAATAGCTGTCCGATCAGCCTACAGTAGTCAGGATGTTCGTGGTTTTTCCTAATAAGCCTGATGAAGACTGGTATTGGCCAGTCGAAATATTGCATACCTCAGCCTTTTTCACGTTGCTTTATCAGTCTTTGCAGAAGTCTTTTTGACTTTAATTCTATTTTTAATTGACAGTATTCATTTTGGCGACGTAAATCCCCGGCGGGTACTATCTTACATTAACCTCATAGATATTGCTCTGAAATAGTGTCAAGATTAAGGAGAGCTGGACAGCATACCCCCACTACGACTTCCCAGAAATACCCCGCCACCCCGACGAAATTTACAAGCTAGGCTCGCCACCAGGGCGCCCTGCTCGCCACAGGCAGCCCAGTTAATGATGCGCTTATGGGGGTCCTTGATAGCATTGTGTCAGCGGAGTTACCCATGATGGCGGCCTAAATCTTCGATCATGGCGATCTTGCCAACTCACCATAGCAGATTTCAGCCAATTCCCGTCCATAGATCCGGTCTTAGACTCAGAGAAAAGTATGTTTTGTTGTTAATTTTTATAGCTTTTCTTCTTTTATGCTTTGGAGCATTCTTCTTCGTCCCAGACTTGAGAGACCGGACTTACCTGGAGAACGCTTACAAAAAATTCGTAGGTGCCGGTGGCGATATTTTGCCCATTAGACCTCCTAAAACACCCATTGTGAAGCATGTCGAAGGTAAATATCTGATATTTTTGTCAACTTAAAGACTTTTTGACTTGATTTAAGTAAACCTAAGGCGCTATTTTGCAGCCTTTGTCGCTAATCTTTAATGTGTTTTCGTTTCCACTCAAGAAGCCACCTCGCTGCCTAACAAGAGAGAAGGCGACGATCTAGGAGCTGAAAATCAGAATGTTGAAGTTAATGTACCTCAGAAAACTCCGACAAAACTGTCCTTAAACCATAAGGAATTAATGGAAAAAATAAGAAAGGACAAAGAGAAGTTTAGAGAAGAGAAGAAATCTCAAAAGGAAGCTGAAAAGCGCGCTAAAATTGAGAAATTAGTGAACAATTCTAAGGTGGACGAGACCGGAGCAAAGGGAATCACCGGGGGAGAACCTTCTGATGAGATAGCTAAGACACGAAGAAATTTTATAAAAAAGGTACGTTGATTGTTTAATGCCATAAGTACGTGGACAAGTTTAGTGCTTTGTATATGTAGTTACGCTTTTTCAGTATTCATAATTATTAGTCGGTAATGTTTGTATTAAATTAATGTTGACAGTCGAAGAAAAACTGCAACCTGTAACCCAACTCAACGTAAGAGCGATCAGCCTTAATTTTAATCACCAATTCACTCTTAAAAGTTTAGGAGATTATTTACTTTCCAGTCATCCTTTACAGGTCGAGAAAGATGTATCGTTCCAGAATATTCAAGTTTTATTAAACAGTGTTAGTTTGTTTGTGACGTACACGCACGTTTCAGGTTGTCATTGGTTGCATTGAATTTAATCTTACATGGTTAAAATAAGCTACGATTTTACTTGAGAAGTCTGTACTTATTAAATGTGGGTCAAGTACTGATACTGCCTCAGTCATTATTCTTCTGAATATAAGTTTTGCAATAATTAATTATGTTGCATGCTCAGCTTTGATATTTAGAACACTTTGATGTCACTGCTGAACAAATTTCATTGTTGACTCACCTTGTATATATCATTAAACCAGATGTAACCTTGGTTTAGTTAGTTTGCTGACTTTTCAAAAAGAAAAGAGCCACAGTGCTTTTAAGCTTTTGCTGATTGATTCGAATGTCTTGTGTGAGACTAACAACATCAATCACAACTTTTTTTAAACAATGGTGGATGAGGTTTTTGCGATATTCAGAATAATCAAGGCTGAGGTAGGTGTTATCAGCTGAGCCAAGTATGGTTTAAAAGGACAATTGATAATTTGGTCATGTGATGGATTATTCATGTTTGCTGTTTGCTCTAAAAAAGGTTCTAAAATTCTTGAAGTTGTAGAATTATTGAAAGGCTTACCTGCCTTGACTTAGTGTAAATGGTCTTAACTACATTAGCCTGTGCTGCAAAGGAAAGTCTGTCTATGAAACAGGGCTGAAATCCTTGTTCCGGGTCCCCACTTGTGCACCAGGGCCGGGTTGTTCAAAGCTGGGTTAAGATAACCCAGGGTTAGTGGAAAATTTGAATTCAAATATGAAAGCTTATAAAGTAAATTCAGTTTAATTCTTTTTGTCTACAAGTTGATGATTCAATGCTCTATGAATATCAGAGAAAACTGTCCCAGGAAATGCTTGTGAACAAAAGAAAAAGAATCCCGGGTTAAATTTAACCCTGGGTTAAGTGCTAATCGGCCATCGAACAACTGGGCCCAGGATTTGAGTAGACGCCAAAAAGTCAGATATAAAAAAATCATTGCCGATTTTTCAATCAAGATCAAAGGAATTCAAAAAACACTTCTGGTGATTCGTTGAGTCCTTTGGAGGTCCAGAACAAGACTCATGATGCTGCTTCGCAGATGTTTCTAACCAAGGTTAAATTACATCTGTGAGGCATGCTATAAGTACATTTGCAGTAAATTAATTTGCTTAACAGTAAATCCAAAGAACCTATGGAGAACATACAACTGGCTTTTTGTTATTAAAATGTCTTACTAGATGATGGAACATGCCTGGACAGGATATGTAAATCACGCATGGGGTGCCAATGAGTTACGGCCAATAAGCAAGTCGGGGCATTCAGCATCAATATTTGGAGCTTCTTCAATGGGTGCTACAATAGTTGACGCATTGGACACTTTATACATTATGGGAATGAAAGATGAGTTTGAGCGTGCAAGGAAGTGGGTGGCAGTATCACTTCACTTTAATCATGTGAGTACAAAAGAATCTTACTGTACAAATTACTCTATTGCTTGGGCAATTCAATTTCAAGTACAGTACATGTACGTTTGTTTGTTTGTTTTCAACTTGGCCACATGGTGGACTTAGTGATGATGGTGTTTTTTAAATGTCAATCTGGAAGTCTATGTAGGATTCCAGTTCCTACTTTTGCAAGAAAAGGTCTTTGTCCCTGCTCTTAGTAGCCATGTATTTTCCCCTTTAACCTTATTAAACTGCAAATCAATCTCTGAAAGACTTATTAATTTTCGAACTTTCTATTCTAGAGGTGCTTGTTGTTTAATCACGGAAGCACAATCTTCTTTTTTCATACCAAAAAGAGGCAATTATTCCAGGGACAGTGGTTAATTGAAGTGATTGCTTTATTGTGTTTACTTGCACACCAGAAGACATACCCTTAATATTTTGTCTCATCATCCCATCTTAACATACATGTATGTGTAAGATAATCACCGCAAATGAACATGGGTTTTCTTAGTGTTCCTAATTAAGAATTGGTTTCCTTGACTAAATTTTAAGGCACTTGAATCAGCAACTTATACGCGAAAACCTCATCCAATTACTAATTTTTTTCATTGCCATTTCTCTAAACAGGCTTCAGACGTGTCCGTGTTTGAAACCACGATACGATTTCTTGGTGGACTTCTGTCTGCCTATGCTTTCAGTGGAGAAGAGGTATGAGCAACAATGTTGTTTCCTTGCTTTTGACTATGTAAAAGCTTTATACAGTATAGTTTTAATAGTTAGATATACATGTATGTGTATTATTGGTTGATATCAATCCTCTAAAGTGCGCAAACTAAGTAGACGGCAGTGGAAACTGCATTACAAACTGTGGGGAATAGATCAGGAGCTCCCTTTGTGCATTTTACGGAGGCTCCTACTTGGTTTGCATTTCCATTCACTTCTTGCTTTCTGGCCTGTCAGGAAAGTCATTAAGACAGAATCCATTAGGAAATTGTACCAGAATATTTAAACCATATCGTATTCTTTTTTACATTTTTCAAGGGCTATAGATGTAATTAGTTACCGTATTTATTCGAATAAGCGCCCAACCTCGAATTAGCGCCCACCTCGAATAAGCGCCCATCCTAAAGGCAGAAAAAGTTAATAAGCGCCCAGCCTCGAATAAGCGCCCACCCCACCACACCTTCCTCCCACTCTCACTGAAACTCAAATTAGCGACCACCCCTAAAATTGAATAAGTACTAATAACAGACTTCCCCGAAGACGGAGTTTTCTTCAAAGTATTTTACACGAACTTTGCTTTGTTACATCTTGGCGTTTTGTTATTACCATTTATTGTTTTGTTGCAAAATACACATACTACACCTGCTGAAAATGTTGAAAATTTAATAAGCGCCCACCCTCGAATAAACGCCCACCTCGAATAAGCGCCCACTCTCAAGGTGCAAAAATTGAATAAGCGCCCAGGGCGGTTAATCGAATAAATACGGTATCTGTATTAACACCAAAATTTCTTATGAGAGCCTGATAAATTTCACAAAATGACACCTTACACATGAAAGTGTCGGAATCTTACCTGTGTTTTCACAATTCTGGTGAAATTTGACATTTATTTTCCCGGGCTCCCATGAGAAATAGTCTTTGATGTTATTACAGATAACTACCGGTAATTATATCTATGGCCCTTGAAAAATGTTAGAAAGAATGCGATACTGTTTAAATTATTCTGGTACAAGATTTTTGTCCACTGAAAATTGAAATTACTCAATTTCCTAATGGATTCCGTCTTAATTCTTGCTGTTAGTATAATTATCAACCTCTCTCCCTCTCCTCTCTCTGGTATGTGTCAAATTTTGGTTAGTATCCCCTTGACTGGTTCATTGTGATGGTCTGCCATGGATATGTTACAGGTCAAAATTGTATTCAGGTTGATGTTTTTTAACCCAGGTTGATTCCCAGTTTCCTTTGTCTCCTATCCCTAATTCATGAATAATTAGGGCTAGCTAATTGGAGACAAAGGAAACTGGGAATCAACCTTGGTTAAAAAAATTAATTTTAACCTAAATTTAATTTTGACCTGTAACAGATACAGTGTACCTCCTCCATGCCCGACAGCTGCCTGGATGGCTCTACCAATCTTTCGGGCACCAGCTCCCAGGCTCATCTATTGTTGATTTAAGCCTATGTGATAAAACTCTCAGAAAAAAGCCCAGGGGTTTTATATGTGGGGTTCTATCAGTGATAACTTGCAGTAACCTGTACAAGTTTATATTTTGGCTAGTTTTATATCATAATTAATATCATAATATGTTATTTACACTGAACTTGTTTTACAGGTTTTCAAAGTGAAAGCTAAAGAAGTTGGCAACAAACTCCTGGCTGCATTTAACACACCGACAGGAATACCATGGGCAATGGTTAATTTTGCCAGGTTTGTATTTTAAGTATAGGGGGACCCTATTAATATGGACACCAAAGGAACATGCCATAGTGTCCATTAATTTATTATCCGGGTGTTCCTATTAAGCTGGCTCACTTAAAAAGTGTCCCAGACTCATGCTGTATTGACATTGAGACTTAAAAAGACATAGAAGAGGTGTAGGTCGAATGACTGCAGCAAAAAGCCAACAAAGTGAAAGTTGTGTAGTAGAAGACAAAAAATGTTTGATGAGGCTACAGTACAAGGGTCAAACACAGGAAAACAATGTTGAACTACAGCTGTATTTTGCTACTGTATTATTAAACTCTTTGAAATCTGTCATTATTGGAACATGGTACATTGTCTACAATAATAATTGTAGACACATAACTGTGACAAGGAAAAGAGACAGTGTGTAGATAACCAGTGTCTGTGAAGCAGAGTGGACAATTTGAGGGTTTGCACCTCGGGACACAGAAAAGTGGCGCATTGGGACACACCAATAACAAGAATCAGATCTCCAGACACCTGTAGTCCTTCCATTACTCAAAAATCCCAACCTCAGCTACACTCGCATTAGAATTGAACAACACGAAATGTGAGAGTTTACAGATTTCACAAGTTAGGGTAATTACGACAACCTACGATCCGACATAGCGTAATTTGCATCAACATTCATGTCATCAACTTTAAGAAACAACAGTTTTGGGAAAAAGCTGGTCCGTTGTCTCTGGTGTGCTACAATCCTTAAGTGACAAGCATATTCCCCATAATTACTAAAGGCAGGCGCCATCTGGCATGGATTAGCGATGCTATTAATTAAACCTAAGAATAAAGAAGAGAGATCGCTACTCCAAGAGGGCAAAGCACACAAGGAAACAACATCACTGGTCAGCCTATAAAAAAACACTTGCGCAACCAGATCCAGAAGCAAATTAAGTACTCACATGATACTTACGTGAATGATATCATGATCCTAGGTGGGATTACACCAGATCATTTTCAACTCAAGTTCATTTTCAACTTAGAAGGCCTGGTCCTACCTGAAGTCTCTTGGGTCCGAGGCGATTGGTGTCCCCCCACCCCCCATTACCGCAGAACAATAGAATTCATACACTTGATTCTTCTAAGACGGAGGCTCTTCGTGAGCAATTTGACACTGCGTTCACAGATGAGGACTTTTCATCCATACCCTCTCCTAGAATCTCTCCTTGCGATAGTATGCCTAATATTCACATTTAATTCCGCCCCATGGACATGGACGTGGACACACGTGTGATGAAAATGGCGGAAGGTCATGATATTTCTGGCTCCGACGACGAAGCCGTTGGGGAGCCAGACACCGAGTTATACCAGCTTAAACTTGATGGTTCTGATTGGCAATACCTCCAGCTGAACGGAGAACGGTTAATATGGACAAGCGACTTAGAATCCTTGAAGAATTTTGGTGAAAATTGTCTTCAGCAGCAAGGAAAGTGGACGTCGCCCGGCGGAAATAATAAGCAATTCAAAAGTTGCAATGATAAGCTTGTTATAACCTGGTACTTCAAGAAACAACTTACTCTTGTTTTCCAAGGACAAGATGGTCCATTTTTAAAAGAAAAATTGTTCAAACTGGTTCAGGACAAGCCGGAGATGACAACCGATTCGCCGAATCGACCCACAAGCCAAAATGAAAACCAACAGACAACGGATAATGGAGCAGACTCGGGATCAGAAAATTCTTTATTTGCTGAGCTGAGAGACATAAAATACAGCCTGACGGTATTGAAGAAGCAGGTCGATGATAATACAAGTTCCTTATCGAGATATCCACAAAATCAAGAAAATATTGGCAACGAAGAACTTATGAAACAGAAAGGGAGGTGTGAAAAGTTACAGGCAGCATTATTTAACAAAGATAAAGAAATTAATGCGCTGAAAATGAAAATTATGTCTCTTGAGACCCGCGCATCGTCCGCGGAACAGGAAAACGACTCCCTAAAATTAGCATTAAAGCTTATTATGCAGGAAATGAACGTAGGAGAGCGTCAACAACAGAGGAATCAGAGTTACGAGGTAACTGCCCCTCAAGGAAAGTCAAAGAGTGATAATGCCCAGTCTAATGAGAGCTCTAATCCTGAAAACGAATGGCAAACCGTTGACGCGAAAAAGAAAAAGAAAAAGAACTAAACACGGAGAAAGAAGATCAGTGAAGCACAGTCCAACGCCCATGATGACACGGAAAATTCCACGCCAGCAAACGAAAGTACTACCTTGTTGATTGGAGACTCTATGATAAAGAATATCCAAGGTACACGTGTAGGAAAAGCCGTTGGTCATCGGGTGGTGGTTAAATCGTTCTCCGGTGCCACCACCAAAGCTATGAAGGATTACCTTAAACCTAATTTGGAGCTTTCACCGGACCAAGTAATTCTGCATGTGGGCACTAATGATCTCAAAAGTAAAGAACCACAACAAGTTGCCGGCTCAGTGGTAGATCTCGCCAGACAAATTGAAAACTCATCCGATGCCACAGTAATTATATCTGAGCTCGTGCAAAGAAGAGACGGATTCAATGAAGCCGTGAAAACAGTTAATAAACAACTGAAGTTCTACTGCAGGGTTCGAAATTTACTTTTATGTCCAGTTGCCCCTGGGACAACCACAAGACTTGGTTTGGTTGCCCATAGAATATTTTGGTTGTCCAAGCTCTTGCCCCCAGTTCAAGCCAACCATCGTCGAAACAAACATGGCGGCATCACGGAGCGGATCTCACTAGTGCATGGACTATGTTTACTGGTACCAACCGCTGATTAAAGCACAACAGGCTCATTCAAATAAGAATGTTGGGCAAAAACGAACTTCGGTTTCCAACGGTAGTGTACGTGATACTTTAGTATTTCAACCGCGTTTTTTTCTTTCCACTAACTTACCGGTAGTTTAGGTATCGCTTACTCTCCAAAGACAACAAGCTGTTATATTTATTCAAATCTATCAAGTCTCCATTAAGGACTAGTGCCACGAAAGATTGGGTTGCCCAAGGGGCAACCACTTAGCACAATTTGATTGCCCCATCGTAATTTTCGTTGTCCGGGACAACCGGACAACCGTTAATTTCGAACCCTGTACTGCCGGCAGAATGGATGGAAATTTATCCAGCATCAAAACATCTCCGAAAAGGAACTTAACAAGGGCGGACTACATCTTAATTTTAAAGGTAATCAACAGTTTTTTAAGAACTTTCAGATGAGTTTAGGTTGAAATGATGCGCTATCCACCGATGCCGTGCCTATTCAATGTACAAAACGCAATACTGAGGAATCTCATGAGCCTACCTCAGTGTTGCCATCTCAACGAGGTTTTAAATTAGCCTCTTTAAATATCAATAAATTAATCACACACATAGATCAACTTAGAATTCTTCTAGCGCATAACGAAATAGATATTTTATCGATTAATGAAACTAAGCTCAATGAAACTATTAGCGACCATGAGGTCAACATCTCTGGCTATGATATAATTCGACGTGATAGAATTACAAACGGTGGAGGAGGAGTGTGTTTCTATGTGAAAAGTTCAATAAATTTTACCATACGAAATGATTTAAACATGGACACTCTTGAAAATTATGTCTGGAAATTCAAAAACCTAGATCTAAACCGTTTGTTGTTGCCACGTGGTATAGACCACCTGATTCTCCTATTGGTATTTTTTCACCTTTCGAAACTTTAATTGGGAAACTCGATTCCGAAAATATTGAATATTTTCTAATGGGAGACCTTAACTGCGACATGATTGCTACTCGATATGACAATAATACATGCAAATTAATGAATATCACTGATATTTATGGTCTACAGCAACTTATCACTGAACCAACCAGAATAACTCCGACTTCTGCAACTTTGATTGATGTAATCTATACTAATTGTCCAGATAAAGTTGTGTGTTCGGGGGTTCGTCATATCAGTATTAGCGATCATAGCATAGTTTTTGCCTATCGAAAATTATCCGTGAATGGAATGTCTGGTGGGCACAATGCTATAACCTACAGAAACTTTCGAAAATTTAATCGAATAAATTTTCGGAATGATATTGCATCTCATTGTTGGGATCACATATACAATTCAACTGATCCCAATCAAATGTGGCTACAATGGAAATGCTCGTTTCTATCTATTGTTAACAAGCATGCTCCCTTGAGGACAATGCGTGTTCGCACGCGTAGTTCCCCATGGATTACATCTGAGCTTAAGAAACGAATGCATGATCGGGATATTCTAAAGATTAAAGCAAGTAAATCGAATGATTCAAATGACTGGTCACTTTTTAAAAACAACGCAATAAAGTAAATAGCGAAATCAGATTAGCCAAGCAAGCCTATTATCAAAATAGTTTTAACAAGCATACGGGCGATTCTAAAAAAAAGACCTGGCAGACTATCAATGAACTTACTTCGCGAAAATCTGGGAAAAAATCGGTGACATCTCTGAAAGTAAATGGAGTATCAATAACAAATCCAACTGTGCTGTCGAACCAATTTAATAATCACTTTGCTACTATCGGTCCAGAACTTGCTAGCAATATTGATTCCTCAAATAGTGATGGTTATCAAAAGTACCTCACTGGCACAGATAAACGGTTTCAGCTCCATCCGACCAGTACAAATAAAGTTCTCTCACTTTTGAATCGTCTAAACAAGTCAAAGGCAGCTGGCCTTGACAAGATATCTGCTAGGCTCATTCGGGAATGTGCAGATCTCATTTGCATTCCTATCCGTGATATTTTTAACCAGTCAATAAGTCAAGGCATATTTCCGGATGACTGGAAATGCGCAAAGGTCACCCCACTTTTTAAACAAGGCGATCGGGACGACTTAAACAATTATCGTCCAATTTCGGTGATCTCAGTTATGGCCAAGGTCTTTGAAAGAATCGTCTATGATCAATTATATGCCTACCTAGAAGAGCACAATATAATCTGTAAATATCAATCAGGCTTTCGCGCTATTCACTCAACTGTCACGGCTCTCCTTGAGGCCACGGACACTTGGGCGTACAATATTGACCGCGGTAAAATCAACGCCGTTGTTTTCTTAGATCTCAAAAAGGCCTTCGACACAGTTGACCATGAGATCCTTTTATCAAAATTAAGCAGTTACGGCATATATGGTAACGCGCACCAATGGTTTAAGTCGTATTTAGAGAATCGTACTCAAATGTGCTCCATCAACGGATCGCTCTCTCAAAGCTGTTTATTAAGTTGTGGTGTACCCCAGGGGACGATTTTAGGTCCATTATTATTTCTGTTATACATCAACGATCTTCCAAACTGTCTTTCAAACTGTGAGCCGAGGATGTACGCTGATGACACCCACCTTACGTACGCAGGTGATAATGCAGACAATATTCAGTTGCATCTAAATCAAGATTTAGAAAATGTTCACAATTGGCTGAGAGCAAACAAACTTACTTTAAATATGACTAAAACCGAATTTATGCTTATCGGATCTAGGCAGAGGCTAAGTACTCTCACAGAGTCCCCGACATTTGCAATTAATGATTTTGAAGTTAGCCAGGTCACTACTGCAAAATCACTTGGAGTGACCATCGATGACAGACTTGATTGGAGTGGCCATATCGAGAAAGTAACAAAGAAAGTCGCTTCTGGTATTGGGGCCATAAAACGAATAAGGCACCTTGTCCCTCAGGCGACCTTACAACTAATATATCAAGCTTTAATACAGCCACACTTTGATTATTGCAACATTGTTTGGGGAAACTGTGGGATAACCTTACGGAATAAGGTTCAAAAGCTACAAAACAGAGCAGCCCGTGTTTTGACCTACTCAAGCTATGACGTAGATGCTGGTCACCTTTTCAAACTTCTAGGGTGGAAAAACCTAGCTTGCCAGCAACAATTTCAAAGAGCTACGATGGTTTACAGGTCTCTGCACGGGTTGGCTCCAAACTATCTTAGTTCTAAATTTGAAAGGCGAGAAGTCGCATATAACCTAAGGGACTCTGAAAATAAACTCAATATTCCATTACCGCGCACAAACTATTACAAAAACAGCTTCAGCTATAGTGGCGCCATTCTCTGGAACAGTCTTCCTTGTAACTTAAGGGAAGCAGAGTCCCTTGGGCAATTTAAACGATTACTCAAAGAACTGTAAGGCACGGCATTCGTGGAAAGCAGCTTTTTTATTTAAATATTTTTATTATATTAGTATTAGGCATTTTTAAAGCTGACGAATTTTGTACCGTGAATAAATAAAGATTATCTATCTATCTATCTATCTATCTATCTATCTATCTATCTATCTTTCTCTGCAAGGTGTCAAGAAACAGCAAGAGAATATCGCTGTAACCAAAGCATGTGGACCTGATCTCATCTCTGCAAGAGTTCTTAATGAGGCTGCATCTGAGTTAGCTTACATTCTGACCGAAATTTTTCAACAGTCGCTCGATTCTGGCAAGCTGCCATCGGCTTGGAAGAACGCGAACGTCTCAGTCGTGCATCTACAAAAAAGGTTTAAGATATAACCCTGAGAATTACAGACCGATATTTCTTTAACGTCACTTTCTGTGAACTCCTCGAGCTTATCAAATGTATCAGGATCAAGTCTGTTTCTTTTCTCAGTTCAAACTCAACCATATCCATGTTTCAACATGGGTTCCGAAGAGGTGTCTCCTGTGAGACACAGCTGATTTCTTTATAGTTCACGAGTGGTTAAATGTACTAAAAGAGCGAGGCCAAGTTGACGTCGTCTTCCTAAACTTTGCAAAGACGTTCGATTAGTCGTGCCACACCAGCGGCTAATCAGCAAAGTTGATTATTGTGGTATCCGGGGTAACTTAAAGCTTTGGATTAAAGACTTTCTTAATCATGACTGATCGCCGGCAGCGTGTAGTCGTTGATGGTTCGTACTCCAGCTGGTCTCCGCTCACATCTGGCGTACCACAAGGAAGTGTATTGGGTCCAACAAAGTGCCACATGTTACGTATAGCGTTAAAAGGGTATCAGTCAGAACCAGCTTGTTCGTGGCAGCTCGATTTACATTGAGACAGCCCTAAACTCCCGCTAGGAGTGCAACGAATTTTCAGACCTATCATTATGCCTTACGAGAGACTCTTTGTCCTGTTACACTCGCTCATTAGACCGTTGTATTTATTCAAGTTTATATTTTTATACCTCTCATACATACTAGCGCTTTTTTCACACATTTTGATTTACAGCGTTCTTTCACATGTATAACAACACTTAATACGCTGAATATTTTACATATACCTAATGATGCAGTTGATCAGCGAAAGCTCGGAATCTAATTTTTATTTTAGAACAAAGCAGTTAAGGGCCTCACTCGAAATACATTTTCCTTTCCAACTTTTATAGTTTTGATACAATGGAATTTTTCATGAAACATAAGAGCTAACTTGCCCCAAGTTTCCAACAACGCTTCAGGCCAGGTTGTTATTGTTTGATAAAAGGGAAACCTAGAATGTGCGGAGACTGTTGTTTCAAACTTGCGTGAAATTTATTTGCCATCCTTTTCTATAGCGAAATCATTTAAACCTCTAAAATTATGTAACAATTCGGGAAGAACCAATAAACCTCTTTAGCTAGCTTGCGTAGCTGGCGGGATTAGCGTGGGAATGGTGTTTTGACGGCGGAACGGCGAGAAGAGTGGGTAC